TAGTAGTAGTAGTAGTAGTAGTAGTAGTAGTAGTAGTAGTAGTAGTAGTAGTAGTAGTAGTAGTAGTAGTAGTAGTAGTAGTAGTAGTAGTAGTAGTAGTAGTAGTAGTAGTAGTAGTAGTAGTAGTAGTAGTAGTAGTAGTAGTAGTACTAATAATAATAATAATAATAATAATAATAATAATAATAATAAAGAAAGAGAAGAAGAAGAAGATGATGATGATGAGAACTTGGAGATCAAATATTAATGTAAGGATTAAGCAATAATAATAACAAATGTCAAGGTTAGAGGTTCCACTAATGGTATATCAAACAAGTATAGTATAAACTCTTATTATTGAATTGGAAACCACACACAAAGGAGGTTCCAATCAGATTATATATTGTTAACATGATTACATTAGTCATCTTATTCAATTAATGCTAATACTTGTAAATCTCGTCAAGCATTCATGATTATAACTTATGTTAACAATAAATCAAGTTCCTTTCATAGCTCAGGTGTCGGTTATACCATACATTATGGGCTATGAAAGTGCCAAGCATTTGTTGTACCAAGTGTTATACAACATAAATCAAGATTAGTCATTTAACAAGCAAAGTATTAAAGAGTGAACAAGATAACAAATATAAAACATGTTAGTATCAAACATTAAGGTCCATATTAAGTTTACATTATACTTATTCTTACACCATTAGTGTAACCTTTTCACCTTGACATAATTAACTTAGCTAGACATAATGAAAGAAAGCAAAATAGATAAACAAAATAAGAACATAAAAGTTAACTAAGTAAAGGAAAGGAAATGAAAGGCATAAACTTAATATTAATGAAAACAAAGCATAAAAAATACAAAGAGAGAAAGGAAGAGCATGATCTTGATCTGAACACCAAGATGCCTAAATGCATGGCAAATGTCTCCTTTTATAGGCCAAAATTGGGAACTATTGATTTGATGACTAATTGATAAGTGGGTGGCCAACTTTTGACTTGGTGACAATCTTTATCTTCTCTTGTCTGCCCAAAACGTCATTGATAACGTCAAAATTGGAGCCAGTTGCAAACATGAAAGTTGTAGGCAATTGTCTCAGCTTTCTTGTGTAAAACATTCAGCTCATTTGGACTTCTAGAACTCCAGATATGGCCAAAATACCGAACAGTGCTCGGGCTGGAAGACAGATTCGGGCTTCTTTGTTGTTGCTACAATTTGGACTTGATAATGGCCTTTTTAGATCTTGGGCTCCATATGAAAGTTGTAGGCCTATGTCTTACCTTTCCATCCATATAAATTGGACCTAAATCTGAGATCTGTAGCTCCAGATATGACCCAATTACCGAACAGTGTTCCGGTTTGGATTGCACCGACATCTCTTTTCTAAGTTTGGCCATCTCTTTATCCTTTCAATTTCAGTTCTTAAGTTCATCAATCAATTCTTTCATTTATGTGATAGGCCTGTATTTAAAATGAACATTTACCATAAATTAAAGGTATCTTATATTATTAGATATCTTATTATAAAACATGCTTTAGTTAAGGAGTTATTGATACTTCAAGTGCAAAATGATGATATAAAATCTTGGTAAAAATACACTTTTAAGTACTAATCAACAATATAGTAAAAAAACCAACAAATCAAAAGGAAATAACCATAGACATATTGAAAACACAAGCAATAGATAATTTGAGTACCTGAGCTATCAACATCAAATAATTCAAATGCTTTCTTAATTTCCTACTCTGTCTATAAGAACTTGCCTGAAGAAGCACACTGACAACAATAATAATAAAAAAGCATCATAAAACTTTTAGTTCAACAAATAAATATTACAACCTTAATTCATATTTTTTTTGAATAATAATATTAGAAAATGATTAATTTGAATAAACCACAAAGGAAACATCTAAGAAGAAGGTTTGGACAGCAGGGAACCAAAAAGAACAAAAAACAAATTAAAAAAAAAACCTTAGGGGTAGCTCAACTAGTCAAGTTTTGAATTTGCTCTTCAATGGTCACAAGTTCGAATCCTCTTAGAGCCAATGGAAACTTACATAATTGTTAACTTTAGGGCCCATGAGATTAGTTGAGGTATGCGCAAGCTGACCTGGACACCCATGTTAATAAATAATTATAATAGTTTACATTTTAGATTATTTCAATATTCGATCTCACACAACCCTCTATGCCTTATACCTGAACTCAACCCAACAAAACTTGTTAGATTGGAATTGAGGAGGGAATGATGTGAGACTTTAATAATACAAAAATCTACCGTCTAAATCCATAGCAACAAAACCCTTCTTGTTCTTAAGTTTTAGAATTTTTCACATTGAGCTTAGAGCCCGTTTTTCTAATTCAGTTATTATATTATAATAATAGGCCTATGTCTAAAAATAAAAAATATCATTCGTGTAGTTAAGATCATATCCTAGAATTGACTCAATGTTAGGTCTAGGTTCTTGGTAGGGTGACTGCACTTGTAGATAACGAGTAAATTCATGTTTTAACTTAAAAAAAACAATTTAATGATATATTTTGATAAAAAAAAATTAATATATTTTTATTGATGTAATCCCAACTAGAGTTTATGTCAGCAAATTAGACTCATCCGGTTAAACCAAATATTATAATTAGAGTTGTCCGAATTCCTATTCATGGTCATTTATTATAGTGAGAAGAGGTTGAGATTTTTCTTTTCTACTTTTATTTTTAAAAATTAAATAAAAACAATTTGCTTGAGTTTTTTTTAAATAAAAACCAGCTACCAATCGTGCAAGCCCTAATTTCCATTTCCAAAAAAAATATTCAATTTATATATGAAAATTAAAATTTAACACCTATGACCTAGAAATCCTTATGATTAAACAAATTAAATTTATTGGATTTATACATAAATTAAATTAAATACTCAGTTCAAATACATTTTATGATTTTTATTTTAATATTCTTCTAACTAGAAATATTTTAAGTAATTTTTATATCATTATTTTCTAAATCTTAGTCTAAATACAATTAATAGTTTTTAATTTAAAAACTTTATTGGTAGTAAAATAACTGGTGCCATATATTTAAAATTTTTGGTGAGTCAAGTTTTCATTAAAATAAAAAATAATATGAAATTTATACTTGATTATTTTTAAAGTAACAATAGTCAATGGTACGGTCTCTCTGTATTAATAAAACAAAGTGTTTTTTTAACATTATTTATGTTGTTAGGGTTATAAATGAAGAAAGTCTCCTTATTATATTGAAAGATAAATTTATCTTTAAAAATACTTATTAGAATTGAATACACTTTTGATCCCACCACAATTCCAAGATTCAAGATATTTACTTATTATACCAAAATTACAAAAGTAAATTATCTCAAGAAAGTATTTATTAGATATTAAAATTTCCACAAGTTTGACCTATAATCTAAAGATTTCTATGACTAAAAAAATTAAATTTATTGGATTGGGACCTAAATTAAATTAAACCCGAGTCCGAATACATTTACTTCAATAGCCTTCTAACTAGGGGCATTTTAAGTAATTTCCATATAAACTTTCTAAAAATATCATTTAGAAAATTAACATTTAAGGTAAATCACATCTAAGCTATCTATAAATAAAAAATATAGTCATCAAATCAATGACAATTATACAAGTAGAAAAGACAAAAAAGAGAAAGAAAAATAAAAGATGAAAGACCAAGCACAAATAATTGGAAGTTTTCTCAAAGAAATTCAAGTCCATCAAAGAAGGAAAATATCAAAGTCATTTCCTTCATCAAATTAAATGAAGGAAGCAAAAGATCAAAATCTTTTTGCTTTATCAAATCAAGATCTCACATAGTTAAAACTTTCATGCTCATGTGAATACTTTTCATCTTCAACTTTATCAAATCAAGTTAAGATCTCATATAATTAAAGTTTTTGAGCTCATGTGAATTGCTTTTTATCTTCAACAAATCAAAACAAATTAAGATCTCACGCGGTTAAAGCTTTCAAGCTTGTGTGAATACTTCTCTTTTTTATAAAATCAAATCAAGTTAAAATCTTACATAGCTAAAGCTTTTGGGATCATATAAATATCTTTATATCCAAAACAAGATCCAAATATGACCATTAAATCATATGATTCACATATATGAAGAGCAAAATCCCACTTTGTTTAATTTGAATTTTTTTAATATTTTATTTACTTCAAATTAATATTTTTTTTTTGTTTTGAGATTGTTTTAATGTTTTAATGTCAAAAATAATTTTTTTTAAATATATTATTTTAATACATTTCTAAACAAATAAATATTTTGAAAAATAACCGCTACCATAATATCAAATATGCTCTAATCATTTCAATTTGTTCTAACCCTTCAAGGTAGGTACGGAAATAACTATTAATAGTTTAAGGCTTAAGTCACCAATTGACAAAGGTTAAATTATAAATCAACTTGAATGTGTTTTTAAAAAATATTATTTTAGATAAAATTAAAAAACTAAAACTATGCTTATAGAACAAATTAATCTCTTCACGTACAAGATCCCCATTAATAAAATTATTCAAGTATGTTTCCTAAAATTAAATAGCCAAACATATTCAATAATATAAAATAAAAAAATATATCTTTTTTATTTTAATACAATAACCTTATTTACAGAAATTTAAATCCCAATTTCAATACAATATTGACTGTCAATTATTATTATATAAAAACTATTAATTCTTTTAGACTTCTTGATTGATTTGAACATACACCAATTTTCACTTCCATGGATCACTAAGAAGGATTAAAAAAACACGATCATATTCTAAAAACACCTCTTATAATTCTCAAGATTCTATTTGCCACTTCTTGTCCAAATTAAATAGGCATGCTTGAGCTCAAATCCATCTCAATTGCTCTACTCTTTATCATTCGATCCCTTTTCTCCAATTGATCCCTCTCATTGTCTCCAACAGTAGTCGTTCCTTCTTTACAAACACAACTATCCATCCATAGTTCAAGAACCTCATTAGCTATGGGATCAATATTGTCGCGAATAATTTCTTCAGCACGCTCCGTCGTTCCACCATCCTCACATGTTATGCCAACCAAAATCCTCATGGAAGAGACAACATTTTGAAAGTAGAGGGAAGATGAGAAGTAGTGTGTCAAGTTGTTTCCTAAGTGCTTCGAGTTGAGAATCTTCATAGAAAGCTTTGAGGTAATCTGGGTGGAGGACGAGGTCTTTTCTTGGAATTAAATCAAGAAAGAAGATGAAGTATGTTGGGCTGCATTGGACCAACTCGAAATGAAAATGTGGTGCATCTGTTGAGGATTTGAGATAGCTTTGGATTTTAGTGATGTTCATTGCTTCTCCGTTTGGTAAGGACAAGTATAGCCAACTCGTCAATATGAAATCAATCTGGTTTTCATAAAAAATAAATTAACCATTAGCTTTTTTTAATATTATATCGTTATAATATTATAATAATAATTATATATCTTTTTATTTAAACCGCTTCTAATTAGAATAGGTTAGGTTTCAATTGATTTAAGTTTTGATTTAAGTTAAACCAGGTTGAATTATATCAAATTCTAGAAGGAGGGTAGGGTTTTTTTTTTTTTTCTTTAGGGTTTTTTTTCTTTTTTAATATTATGTTTGTTATATTTTTTACTGGTTTCCCTAGCAGTTTATGTATAGATTGCCAGCAAAGTCAATTACAAGATACAAAGCGATATAAAGCAAGGCCCATATATTTGCATTCAAATTCCAGTAACATGAAAATGAAATCATTCAGACAAATTAATAAAGGAGCACATGATCCTACGTGTAAAAATTATCATATTCATGCTCCTATATATAATAATGATGATTTTTACCACTGGATCTTCTTCATGTATATTATTATATAATTCATCCAAAAACAATATCATAATTGCTGGTAATTTTTTTTCAAATTGTTAATTTTTGTCCCCCTTTAATCTGTAGGAAGATGAAAAAAAATTATTTTCTTAGAAAACCGTATACGCTTCAAGTAAGTGTGTGTGGGAGGGGGGGGAGAGAGTACAGGAGAGGAATCGACTCCACGGTTGATGCAAAGAGAACCTTGAGAAGCACCACTCTGGTTCTGATAGTATTCAGCATCAGGAGGGACTGAGGCTGAAGAAGGAAGGAGATGACCATGAAGGCGTTTATCCACGGCGGAGATTGGACCCACCATTAAATCTTTGTGAGGAGCCAAGATATGAGGAAACTCCATGAACTCTGCCCTCTCATCGGCTATTCCATCTCAAATGGTGTGGTCGATAAGGCAAGTATTGAGTTTCTGATCTTTCTGGTGGATATTTTCTTCAATGGTAGAGCTGAGAATGAATTTAGATGAACATGTTGATGTGGGCAAAGCGGGAGGGTCATTGTTTCTCTCGTGCTATGCCCTTCAAGCAACGTAAAGTCTACGTTGGACTAAGATCCACATAAAATATTATTATTCCATCAATAACAGACACAGAAAATGAGTCACTTTCAACCATTTTGCGAATTTCAAACTTGAACATTGACTATAATGGGTTGATTAACTCAGTCCACTGACTCCAATGATTTTTATGGAGTTGCTTGACATTTCTTCAAGTTTAAAGAACTCACCATTGTCCTTTTCTTATTCAAACGAAAATGACAAATTGGGCCTTTGAAGTGTTCTTAACATTTTCATTACCTCTAGCCCTTCAAAAGCATTTAAGTTTAGTTTTCAATGTCTTTTACTCTATTAGTTTTTTGTATCGATCTATCCACTCGATAAGCAATTTTCAGCCACTAGAAATCAACCTACAACTCTGGCACTAATGAATATTTCATTCATCTTATTTTTCTTGAATATTGAAGGGTAAGGTTGAACCACGACCGATCAAATCATGTGAGATTTTGTGTGATTTTGGATGAAATGTGAAAAAATGTAAGAGAAAAGAAGAAAAAATCATTATTTTCTTCCTATTGCGTTACATTCTGTTCTACCAAATGTACACTGCAATTAAAATATGTTTTTTGTAGGTTGCATCAAAGTTTCTGCAAGTGAAATGGAGGTAAAACTATACTAAATTGCTAATGCACACCATTCATTCTTTTCCTTCCGTAGATCCATAGCATAAGGATAATATTCAATCTTGATTCTCAAGCGGGATCAGCCTCGGAAGTCAGATGTTATAAACCTTTTGTATGGCTCCTAATACTCTATGGGTGACTTCTGGACCAAACAATCTTGGAAAGTTTGTGCCTAGATCAATCTCAATAGTTTTTTTCTTTATCAGCTCATCTCGCTTCATCATATAAGCCTTCTCTTCCTCTCCCACCAATCTTTCTCCATGAGCGCAATGATCCAACCAAATCCCTAAAACTTCCTGGGCAGTAGGATCTATGTGATTTTTTACTATCTCCTCCATTCGTTCTGGTCCACCCGCTTCAGCTCCTATTTGAATCATAACAACTGTAGGCGAGAGGACAGAACGGAGATAAAGGGATGAAGAGACGTAGGGTTGAACCTCAGGGAGTTTCGCAAGCATCTGCCTATGAGTGTCTAACTGGGTGTTCTCATAGAAAGTTTGAAGATAGTCTGGAGAAAGGACGAGGTCCTTCCGTGGAGGCAAGTCAAGAATGAAGACCAGTGATGTTGGACTACTTTGGATTAGCTCAATCATGAAATTTGGTGCATCTGTTGAAGGGTTCAGATAGGCGGATAGGCTAGTTATGTTCAATGCTCCTCCGGTAGGTAGTTTACAGTGCAGCCAACTTCCCAATATGAAATCAACCTGAAAAATGTCCGGCTTTCAATTAGATTTTTTTCTATAAATTTTAATACAATTTTGAGAAGTTGAGAAACAAAAATAACTACATCACATTGATAACAACAGTGCAAATCCAGGCAAGTACTGTGATTTGCAGCCTGTTTCATTTGAAGCCAATAACAATATAGGATTCCATGGGGCATGATGCCATAAACAAAGAAAGATTATACATGAAAAGGCTGCAAATTCAACTTCGACATAAGACTTCAATCCTCATAACTAAGTAAGAAGGTTCAGTACTTGGCTGCTACAAATAAATTATGTCTCAGTAATTTTGAAATTAGCATTCGATAAAGAAGCCAGGACTTTGATTACACAAAAACTAATGAAAACATACAGATGACTGCAATAGCTTTTTGTTATTGTAATTTCCCATATTATATTTGTTGAATAATAAGTATAAAGCCATCCCTCTCCCGCAAATTAGTAAAGGGTTATTCCAGGTTCCTCATGCATTACTCAGTTACGGAATCAAACCAAGCTTTTCATGCGATTCCAAGACCTAGTACAGCAAACTGAACCAAAATCTGATAAGCACTATACCAGCTATACAAAGCATTAACAGACATATTATTATGTTATCCAACAGAGTGCAAAACTGTCCCCAATTAAGAGGGAAATAGCCCAATTCTAATTTTTTTCTTGTGGGGTGCATGCCAAAACTGCTAGTTTCCAAGAAATTAGCCAAGCACAATATATAGGGTCCATCATAATGTCAAATGGAAAGTAATATACATAGCAAACACAGATTAAGCATATCTAAATGGATTAATTAATTAAGTCTGATTGCAGCTACGAAGACCATCTACCTTCTAAATAATTAGCGTTGATAAATACTAATCGGTAAGACTACTAGTCATAGCAACAAGCACTGGCTCAGAACTTTAGAATTATCAGTGGCGCATGAGCAAATAACAAATAAAACAACGTACCAATTCAAAGTTTCAAACTGTGCTACAAGAAGTGAGATTGAGGAAATTACCTGGGAAGACTGAAGACCTGATCTGATATGAAGTGAAGCTTGGGCGCTCCCACTTTCGTTCTGGCAGTGTTGTACGTCAAGGGGAAGGGTACAAGGGAGGAGGTGTGAGCCAAGTCGATCCTCCACCGTTGATAAGAGATTAACCATGAGATCCCTGTGTGGGGCAGAGACAAATGGGAATTCTATGAATTTCTGACGTCCCTGGTTGTGGAGATCCATTTGGGACGCGGATGAAGATGAGGAGAAGGAGGAGGAGAGTGATGCAGTGGCTGAGATTTTTGTTCTTGAGGATTTGAGGGGAGGAGGAGATGGTAACGAGTGTGGTAAGTGTAAAATTGGAGAGAAGCTGACAGCCATTAGTTTAGATTTTAGGTTTACAAATTTGAATCACTAATATTTTGGTTAACTGCTTTAGTTCCCAACTTGTAATGACAAGGAAATCTCTACAACGTTTTTTTTTAATTATTATTCATTTTTTTTAAAACGTTGGTGACCAGAAAATCATGGTTTAAATTTTTAAATCCTTAAATCTAAATTTTAATTTTTTTTAAACTAAAAAAAAACATTAGATAAACCTCTAAAACTTCATTTCTAAATATAAAGTATATTTTAATCCATATAAAAACTTAAAATTAAATCAAATTAAAAAAATATTATACTCTCACTTATTCTTTTTTTTTTCTTTTTTTTTTATTTATGTGGGTGTCCGGGTCAGCTTGCACATACCATGACTAATCCCACGATCCACTGAACACTCTGCAAACCCAGTAGGCATGTAAGGTACCATGGGGGTAACAAGCGTGCGCATGAGAACTCGAACCCAAGTGCAGTGAAAAAAGACAAACCCCTTCCACCACTAGGCCAAGACCCTCGGTGCACTCTCATTTATTCTTATGAACATTGGTAAAGGTAGAAACAATATTTATTGAATTGTTATTTAAAAATAAATCTATAAACATCAAAATTATAGTTATTAGCCACTAGAATTTGACCACCAAAAAGTTCTTTTTCTCCATTGGTTTTTTCTAATAAATTTCTCCTTTTTTTTAACAATAGTCAAGGATTGAAATGCAAAACAAATAAAGTTTAATGACCAAAATATAAAATAAAAAAAAAAGGATTAAATATACAAACTATGAAACTTATAATGATCAAATTAAAGTTTTTCACATAGAAAAAGGTTCTATTCTTGAAATTTGAATTTTAGTTCTTTCTCTTTCAACTTTTGTTTTAAGAAAAACCAAAAATTCAATTTCATAACTGTCTTTAATTTAACCTAGGAATATCAAATGTCATATTAGGTATGCAAAGCATACTAATCAAAATAAATCTCAAAATATAAAATCATTACATTAGAGCTTGTAAGGATGAAATTAAAAAAAAATAAGTTCAATGATTAAAGTATAAAAAATAAAAATTTCAAGGACCTAGAAAGGAAAAATTAGATGTGAACAATATCAGGAACAAAATGTACGAGAGTGCAAAATAGATTAACAATTAAGAACCCAAATTTTTTAGTTTATATTACAATTTCATTAAAATTATCTATTTTTTAAATTACAATAAACAATACATTTAATAAAATCCTTGTGATAATATTTGTGAATAATTTTAAAATCATAAAATACAATTTTCTCTTTAAAAAATATTATATTATGCTTCTTTAATTTTATTCATTAAAACGCTAACACACTGGTCTTCAATGTTATAATACTGATAAGAATAAAATTAATATATTGATTTGCTAATTGTCACATGGACACATAAGTGAGAGAAATACATCTCCACCACCAAATAACTTCTCACCATATATTATTTAGTAAGTAAATTCAAATAATTAAGAACAATATATATATATATATATATATATCATAATCAATTATAATAATGGATTCTATTTTTATTAGTTATTTCACACGCACTGTACTACATGTGGTATCAATATTATGGATACATTTTATGGTATCATGAATTATTGTTTTTAATTGAGAAATAGAAAGATAGTGTGTACCTGAATAAAATAAATTAAAAAGTATATACAAACTGAAAAGAAAATTAACAATAACTAAATACTAAAATAGAAACTTAATTTTACTAATAAAAGCAAAAGATAGATTCATTTGTAAATATTTTATATAAGTTATTCTTTTATTTATATATTTTCTAAAATTAAATAGCCAATCATATTCCATAAAATACAATAAAGAAACATATCTTTTTGTTTTAACACAATAACATTATTTATAAATATTTAAATCTCAATTTCAGTAAAATACTAACTATCATTTATTATATAAAGACTACTGAATTCTTTTAAACTTCTTGATTGATTTGAACATACATCAATTTTAACTTCCATGGATTACTAAGAAGGATTAAAGAAAACATGATCATATGCTCTAAACACCTCTTATAATTCTCAAGATTCTCTTTACCACATCT